ACAGGACTCTATTAATGTCAGCTGTTACTATGTCGTTGCCCTCTTGCAGAGTCCTGATGGGAAATATCTGGCCAGTGGAGCCATAGATGGAATCATTAATATTTTTGATATTGCAACTGGAAAACTTCTCCATACGCTTGAAGGTATGTGTCTTTGCACGTATACATAAGCCATGCTGTGTCAGTGATCCAGTCATCTCTTTAGATAACAGTTTTGTTAAATGGCAAATGAGTTTTGTATTTGGAAACTCAAGAGATGATGATTTCAGTGATCTCCAGGTGAAGCCTGATGGAATGGTGTGTTTGAACACTGATTGTCTTGGCTGAAACATGGTGGTGCTCAAATAGGAGTGGAACAGAACTACTGAGGCAGAACAGGTTGGGGTGAGAAGGTTCTGTGTGTCCCATGGACTTTGGAGGACTGCAGGGAGACCCTGGGAGCAGTGCCAGAATTGGCCAGAGGGCAGCTGAGGAGGACCCTCTCAGGAAGCAGAGCCTAGGTCAGTGGAATTTCTTCCCCCAGATTAATAGTATCTATTCTAAATTTCAGGCCATGCAATGCCCATCCGCTCTTTGACCTTCTCCCCAGATTCTCAGCTACTTGTCACGGCTTCAGATGATGGCTACATTAAGATTTATGATGTGTAAGTTGTCGTTTCCAATGAAAGCATTATGGTGAACACATTCAATGCCTGGGTCAGTCAGCAAGGGTTTAGACTGTCAGGATCAGTTCTGTGGGCAGAGCCCTTTGTACGTTGGACCACGTTGGAGCACATGGATTGTTGTCTGAGCAGGATGACCTTCTGAATTTTTGACTCAGGATGCCGTTTTCTCCACTTACTTCCCCTGTCCTCAGACTTTGGGGATAGGCTGTGTGGCAGGGTTGATTCTTATTACTTAAATATCCAAATGGCTCTGTGATCTCCTTGACGTGGCTGTTCCCTCTGATAATGCAGCTCATGAGCCACCTACACCTGCCCATTTTGTGCAGTTCTTGTCCATAGCCGTCAGCACTCTCACCCAGGTTATCCGCTAATAGTGAGGCCTTCTCTTCTTTCCCAACATAGTAGAGATACCATTGGGATACAGCGGCTGAGCATTAGTTTGAATCTCACTCTCACCATGTGACTAACTCATCGTTTTCACTCACACATTTCTTTTTAAAAACTCTTTTACTCTGGTCTCCTTCATAATTCCTTGTTGGTAATTTGTGGCAGCCTGCTCACACTCATCTTGCACTGCATTCCTCCGGTTTATGAGGCAGTACTAATAATGGCTAGCATTTATAGGTTTCTTTAGAGTTTGCAGAGTTTCTTACAAATGATGTATCATTTTGCCCTCAAAACAACCCTGGGAGAGATAGGTGGTAGTATCTCCATTTTACAGATGGGGAAACTCAGTCAGACAGGTTAAATGACTTGCCTAGAGTCACACAGCTAGTAGGTGTCTGTGGCTGTATTTAAACCCAGGCATTCCTCACTCCAGGTCCAGCGTTCTACTCACTGTGCCATTTAACTGCCTTCAAATGGATTTATTTTTACAAATCTTTATATTTATTATTGCTTTTATTTTTCTTCTTTGTTGGTAATAGACAGGTAAATCAATAATGATTCCCATATCGGTAATGGTGAGTTTTATCAGACTTTGAAATGAAGAGAATGTAGGGTCAAAATGTGAACCTTTGACCCAAAGGATCCCTTGCTAGCCAGTAACAGAGAGTAGGATAATTCAGTGTTCTTACCTCTGCTGTTAGAACCATTTCCAAAAACCACCTTTTTTTTCTCCTTTTGAGGAATGGCCTAGAGAGTTGAGGATTTTTGGCTTGGTAGGTGAGTGTCTCATCCCATCCTGAAAGTGTCCCAGAATCTCAGACTGAGAAGGAAGCCCAGCACTCGTGTTGTACACCCTGGCTGGCACAGAAGTCTCTGACTGGCTCTTCACAAACATTCCAGACACTTTGTGGATGGCAAGAAGTTTTGTCCGGTTTACCACGAAGTCATGGGGTGGGTCGCTAGAAAGGACTTCAGAAATACCTGACTGCAGATCTTTTTATTTGATAGTTAAGGGAACCGAGGTCCAGGGAGGGAATGTGATGTGCTCCGGAGCCAGCAGGATAACCCAGATCTCCCTGATGGCCTTTTCACCATACCACACCACACCACACTGCCTCTAGCTGCAGTGTGAGAAGGTTGGAATAAATGGTCCCCCAGAGCCCTTGCAGCTCTAAAGCGTGTGGACTTCTGGCCTTCCCATGTTATTCAGTTGGTGCCTTAAGGGCAGGAAGCCTGAAACTGATCTCATCCTTCCCCCTAGACTTCTGTTTCTGGTGGTGGTCCTGCAGTCTTCTAGACCTTGAGGCTGGTTACATCAGAGTCATCTCTTCTCTCATGTTCTATGCCAGGGATCACTTTTCCCCACCCAGTCACTGACCAAGTCCTTGCCAGGCTCCTCCTTCCTGATGCTCGTGGATCACCATGGCAGGAGTGGGGGGACAACTGGCCCCACAGAAGGGCGGAAGCAGCCTTGCTGAGCAGCATTTAACGCTCTGGCTATGTATGCTTCTTTGGTTCACTGTTAGATGGTTTGTGAGTGTCCTGCTTCAGCCAAGTCTGGCCCAGCCTACAGTATCTATGCTGGTGCCCTCTGCCTCCTCCTCGACTCTGGCCAAAGGGAGCTCTTTCTCTCCTCACATTTTTCCTGATCTTTTGTCTGGACATTTTGTCGTGGCACATTTCACCCTTGATCATATGCTAATCTTCTTTATCTTGTTTCAGAGTTGTGTGTGTGTGTGCGCGTGCTTGCTTCCTGCCTGTCCTCCTTCCCTGATTTGATTAAAAGCTCCTTGAACAGGATGATACATGTCATGGCCTTTCCTTTATCCCCAGCATAAGCCTGGTGCTTTGCACATAGTGGGTATTTCATAAATGAATGAGTGAGTGAATGTTCTGTTGTCTAACCAGAAAAGAGAGTTGGAACTCATTGATAAGGTGCTCACTGGCTCACGTTTTATATTTGTGCTCTTGTTATCATCACTGATTACTTTTCTTTGATTTTTAAAAAAGCAGTGATGGTAAAAGTAGTCATTCAGCCTGTCTTGTTCAGGATTGAATAGAATGTCCCTCTACCCTATTGAAGAGAGTGTTTTTTGCCAGTGCCTTATTCAAACATGAACCAGGCCGGGAAGAGTGGAAAGGGCCCCAGCCCCAGAATCCAGTCCTGGCTCACTTAGTGCTGGCTGGGGGCAAGGCCCTACCTGGGCCTCGGTTTTCTCACTGGCACAGTTCTCATTGGGATCAGATCACCTTGAAGGTCGCTTCCAGCTCTAGTGTTTTATAATAATAATAACTGACATTTATATAGTGTTTTAACTGTTTACAAAGGCCCCAAGCAGCTATTCCCATTTTATAGAGGTCAAACAAGCTAGTGAGTAATTGTCAGCAGGGGGTTGGACTCAGTTCTCTCTGACTACAAATTCAGCACTATCTGCTCTTCTAATGTAATAAAAGCTTACATTTTCATCTCAGGTTTTATGTATTTTGGTAGATTTGTGGCCTGATTCATGTGGCTACTCTCTCCAGCAGTGCAGAGTAGACTCCATTCATGTCTTCTTCTCACACACACCCCCCCCCCCCCCATGTGTTTCTTGTCCATGTGCTTCCACAAACACTTCATAGACAAACCTAACACACTGGAGACCTGAATGTTCTGTGGGTCCCAGAACAACCCTCCCTCTGTTTTCCCTCAGTCTCTCTGCGTGGCGTCCCTAGCCATCCATTTCCTGAATGATGTCTGTATGGCGCTTCTTAGCCACTAGTCATTGGTAATGTTACAACAGCCTGCTCATATTCTTGTCCTTTGGATATTTCTCAGTTTTGATTCTTCGGAGTCTGTGTTCCATGATTCATAGCCGGCGATCATCATTGGAAGAATATAGATCTTAAAAGACAGTTTTCACATTGTAGATATTTTCTGCTTCCTTTCCTTCTCGGTTGAACTTTTATTTCTCCCCCTCTACCCCCCGACAAAGGATAACAGTTTAAGAAAAGCATTTGCTGCAGACGCCTTGTGTGTCCCGTGTATTCCCTAGTGGTGTCCCCCCAACCCCATTCCAGCTCTGTCCCAGCTGAGTTTCATTGTCTCTTCTCTGGAGCCTGGTTTTCCCATCGCTCTTCCTTTTCTTTTCATTTACCTTGGTGTAGTTGCAGCTCTTATTCCCTTGGTTCTCCTTTTTTTCTTCTGTGTTTGTCAGATAAATCTTCTGAAATTCTTGTATTTGTCATTTTCTACAGCACAGTAGTATTCCTTTATAATCATCATGTTCTGGGGTTTTTTCAGCCATTACCCAAGTTGTTGCTTACTTTGTTTCTAGTTTTATTTTACTTATTTATTTATTTTACCACAAAGAGTACTGCCCTGACAATTTTGTTACATATTGAATCTTTTGTTTCTGTTTTTTATTTCCTTGGGGTAGATACCTGGAAGTGAGTATTCTGGGTCAGAGGATTATGGGCAGTTCAGTCACTTTGTTGAGCCATGGCAACTTGCACTATAGAATGGTTGCACCGCATCATAGCTCATCCCTGCTAGAGTGAGGCCAGCTTCCAAGGCCCCTCTAGCACACACTGTCTCCATCTTTTGTTCATCTACACCAGTTTGCACGCAGCACGCTGAAACCTCAGAGTTATTTTAACTTAGATTTTGCTTAATATTTAGTGATTTTTGGAGTAGGCTTCCATGTGGACATTTATTAATTTGAAAATCTTTTAAGAAGAATGTTCATTCATATCTTCTGACTACTTGGGAAATGTATTTTGTGGTTTATGTTTTGTTAATTTGGATGTTAGATTTATATTGGTGATATTTGATGCAAACATTTTCCCACTTCTAATTCTATTTCAATGTTTTATGATCTCCCTTGCTCCTTATTTGGTTAGGAATTATCCCTGAGTAGTATCTAATTGTCAAGGATCAGCTAGAATCAATAAACATGGTGTGCAATTTAGTGACTGCACACCTTTGGTTTTCCCTGTGTAGATTGTTAGCTGTGTCTCTTTTGAATCTCTCTGGATCTCCCTGAGGAGGCCCTCTAAGATTCTGGGCCTTGATGTAATTATAGCACAGTGTCATATATGAACAGGAGCAGCTGGAGAATCTCACCGTGGAGAGAGGAGCCCTTCATCTGTTAGTGCTACAAATCCCCTTGGGCAGGCTGGTGAAGCCTATGGACCCCCTTCTCAGAATAACTTTAAATTTTAAAATTCATAATTGAAAGAAATGTTAAATTTTGGTTAGAGGTTAGTGAAAATAAGGATATAGTTTTTTTTTTCTCATCCAAATTCACTTGACACCCCTGAAATCTATTCTAGAATCAAGATTAAGAACTTCAGATCTCTAGGAAATCCTTCTTCCACATCCTCCATGAACATGAAGAACACCATCAGTGATCGTAGAGAGATCTTTGTTTTATTTCTCACTTGATATTTATTGTCAAGATTATTGAACAGAATTATCTTTTTGGTGCTTGGTTTCAGGGAGTCTCATGATTTTATTATCTTCATGGGCGATAACTTTTTGGAGATGTCTACAAGCCTATTTTTTTGTTCTGCCAAGTCAAATGCTTTCTATAATCAGTAAACACAGTGGGATCATGTATTCGCTATAACTTTTAGCCATTTGTATGACTCTTATGGTGTCTACTGTCAAAAATCATTTGTGAAAGACCACTTCCTTTCTCATTTTCATCAAGGGTAACTTTGATATATAGATAGGTCCTACATATTTAGACTATATACATGCTACGTGTATATACACACACACACACACACACACACGCACACATATAATGCATATATTTTTATAAAGTTCTTGGAGATGTGTGAAAATAAATATGGGTCGGCAGTTATTAATGTTCTTTCAGGTACATTTTTTAATAATGCCATTTGTTGGTTTTTTTCCCTACTTCTTGGATACCGTTTCCGTTTGGCTATGTTGAAAATCCCTCAGGGTTCTCAAAATTTTGTCAACTCTAACGCAGATTTTTTTTCTGGTCTTATTTGTTCTGGTCCACCTCTTCTTCCCATCTCCATCTCCTGTGGTATGATTCTTCTTCCTCTTCTGGAGCATATTAGGCAGTGAGGTGTTTGAGTACAGATATGGAGGTTCTAGTATCATCAGTGACAAAAAGTTTGTCATAGTAAGCAGTGCTGGCAGATCTCTTGTGCCCTTTTTCGGCTCTTTTTCATCCTTCCAGTTTTATCTATAAATGGTCTTTGGCTGACCTGGCTTAGTTGAGGCCTTCTCCTTTCCCTACCCTTTGCTGTTTGAGGACCAATACTATTTATAATCTTCTCACATCATCATCCTCTTACCATTGTGAGGGAGGTTATATTTTAAGCCAGTGATCACCACCTTTCTCCACTTAGCAAGGAAATCAAGTGTTTTTTGGTTAAAAAGGTTTCTAGACTCTTTTGGCTTCCTCATTGTGGGAATTGCTTTACATAAGTTAAACTTCTATAGAAAATGGTGATTGTGCCTATCAACGTCTCTTATCCATTTTGTTTTAATAGATAAGATTGGAGCTGTTGTGATTGCAGAGGGTCCTCTTGACTCCACTATATTTTTTCTTCTCACTAGGCAGTGATTTTTGACCTTTGCTCTTGAGTGAATGGTCTGAGTGCTCACAAACTGATCTTGAAATTATTCTCACACCAGTAAACAGTCATATCTGCTAAGATGTATTCGCTTTCTTTTTCTTTTTTCATGTATTCAGTGCTTACCTCTAGTGCCTACTGACTCTCTTGGAGAAAATTTAGTCACATGTTCTTGAGACTTCTGAATAGTCCATAAATGTTCATTTTCTTTCATTTTTTAATCTTGAACTATCTTTTCCAGAATATTTTTTCACTAGCCTCTCAGCATATCCCCTTTAGCTTTGAAATCACTGGGAATTGGTGTATCTGTTACACTGGTTTGGAAAAGTTTGTTGATTTTTGTGTAAAATTTCTATACTTCTTGCAACAGGAATTGTTACCATTGTAAGAGTGTTTATCTTCATGCTGATCTTTGGTTTTTACTTATTATGAGCATTGTGAGACAAGGGGATCAAGTATTACAGTAAATTTTGTGTATTGTCTTTGAAATGCTGACTTCTCTGTGCCTTTATCTGTTCATCAGGGTATTGCAACTTCCTTGTGTTTTCTGATTTAACTTTATATAATTAGACTGTCATTATTAATATGGTTAATTTCCCTTAGTATTGTGTCATACATTTTGGACACAGAGATTTCACGTTGAGATTGCCATCAATTAATGTTAGTAGACGATCCAGAAGCAGTGATTCCCAGCTCTGCCTTGTTTTCTGCTGTGCTGCCACTGTTATTCTAGAGGCAGAAGGGACCTGCATGAGACCAAAGGCCTCATGGATTGTGGTGGCACCAAGGAATTCCCCACATGGTCCCCAATGTCCCTGTGAGGAGGAGTTTCACCACACTTAGGTAGGGTGGTTCTTGGACAGCAGATACAGTCTGTTAGCAGGACTGTATTTGAAGCCCTCCCAGCTTGGTAGAACCTGCTAGAGCTGGCTGCCCTCAGGAACCAACGGTTACCATCACACTAACATGAGGCATCTGAGGAGGGTTTCTGAAACATAGTACACAGGCGTTATTCTATCTGATCCCTAAACCAGCCCTGTGAAGTATATAGAGCTAGTATCATTCAACCAATTAGAAAACTGATGCCCAAAGAGGTGCAGATGTGATATTTGATGAGTATGGGAGAACACGAGAGGTGTCACAGAAGTAGAGGTTGTTGGTCAAAGGTTGCTCCATGGTCATGAAAAGAAGAAAGCAGAGCCCCACAATGACCGAACAGTGAATGTGGGTCTGAAGTTCTTCTGGACTTTGGGCCAACCATGATCACATTGCTGTAGTCAACCTAGTATGTGAACTCTGGTGCTTCTGACCTGATTCCATTCCACTGCACTGATTCTCTGTTTAATCAGAGAGAATTCTCTGTGTTGTGGGCTTGCAAAAATTTAACTTAATTTTTTTCTGCAATAGTGTAATATTTTTATAGAAAAGTGCAATCTGGGTAGTTTCCAAAATCTTCCTGAGGCTGTTAGGCTGATCAGTCAATTGAAATTGTTATACTTACATTCTTTACTTGAAATGTATTTTCCTTTGCTTTAAATCTGTTTTTCTTTTAACAGACAACATGCAAATTTGGCTGGTACGCTAAGTGGCCACGCATCCTGGGTGTTAAATGTTGCATTTTGTCCGGATGATATTCATTTTGTATCCAGGTACTAAGAATTCTTTTTAGTTTTACTTATTTTCAGTCGTGTATGATTTTTCATGGCCCCATTTGAGGTTTTCTTGACGAAGAAACTGAAATGGTCTGACATCTCCTTCTCCAGTTCATTTTACAGTTGAGGAAACTGAGGCAAACAGTTGTTAGGTGACTTGCCCAGGGTCCCACAGCTAGTAATTTGAACTCTGGTGTTCTGAGTGCAGGCCCAGTGCTCTGCGCACTCTGGCACCACCTAGCTGCCTCTCGGGGTTCTTAGTCCTTCCTCAAAGTGAAGGCGACTCAGGATCTCCATGTACATTTCTGTAAATGATTCTTGGGATTCTTCTTCCTTATGAGGGGCAGTATTTTATTGTGTAACGTTGTGTTAATGATGTTGACAAAGATCATCTCCTGGGTTCTTCTGTGCGAGGGATGATTGTCTCCAGTTTCTCTTCAGCTTCACTTCACGTGTTTGTGTAGAGCAAGTTGAACCCTCTTGGGCCATCTCGGTCTCAGAATTCAGTGATCTTGTTGCTAAATGTCAGCCTTCTTGGCTCAGTATTTTAAATTGCTTTCTTCCTGAAGTGGAAGGTACCTCACTGGTTTCACTTTAATGTTTTCTAGTTCATCAGACAAAAGCGTCAAAGTTTGGGATGCCGGAACAAGAACTTGTGTCCACACATTTTTTGACCACCAGGACCAGGTATTGTACACTTCCCTTGAGTCTTGAGATTTCATGTGCCTGTGAGCCTTTGGAGCCATAAGGACTTCACAGTACTTTGGCCTTACCAGCTGGCCATTTGAATTGACCTGACTCAGTCTCGTCTATTCTTTTTGATCATGAGGCAGCAGATCAAACAGCCACATCTTCTCAGTAGCATTTCCATAGGTCCTTCATCTGGCTCCTCTTTATTTCCACTGCTACCACCCTTGTCTGGGCCTTTGTCCCTGATTGTCTAGACCATTTCAAAAGCCCCTAGCCTGTCCCCTCTCTAAGCCATCTTTAGCATAGTATCCCAACAGTTGTCTTTCTAATTCACATCTGACCATATCGTCTGCTCACAAATCCTCAGTAGCACTGTCTTGTGTAAAGTCCAAGCTCAGAATGGCCACACTCTGGCACTTGTCACCACAGATCTCACTGCTTCCTTCCATGTACATTACACTCCAGTCAAACTGGAATACGGCGTGTTTCCTCAGACAAGCTCTTTGTGTTTAGTGCGTGGATGCTTTTATGATGGTCTTCCTTCCCTTTCTCCAGAGTTCCCTGTCCAGTAGCATTTTTCCTGTCCTTTGAGACTCAGTGGAAATGTCCCCTCTTCCATGAAACCGCTACGCTGTCTTTCCTTCCCCCTCTCAGAAATCCTTTCCTTCCCCAAGCTCTCCTTCAGGAGCACTGGTCGGCCTGACTTTTGTTCCTCCACTTTGGTTTTCTTTTATGCTTATTTCTGTAATGTGTCTCATCCCCTATTATTTAGTAAGCTGCACCTTACGCAGTGAGCATGTGCTTAATAAGTGTTTATGAAATAGAATTGGGCTGCAAACCTTAAGATGAATTTTTGAGGCGATTCTACCAGCTTTGGCCCCTGTTCAGTTAGAGTGGCCTAGGAAAATTTTGTACTTCAAAGGATGGAGAATCTATGTGCCATTCATTATGTTCAGGTTATAGTTCACTGTAGGGGAGATACAGGAATAAAGAAATGGTGCCTACCCTTATAGAATGGAGGGTCTAATAGATAAGGATCTTCCTGAAATGGTTAATGGGCCAGAATATCTAGAGTGCCAGACCTGGAGTTAGGAGGGCCCTGTTGGGAAGCCATGTCTCCTTACCTACTAAGGGACTGTAGGCGAGCCATGTAACTCTTAGGGCTTCCACCTCCTCATCTCTGAAATGAAGTGTCGCTTCTCTGGGTTATTATGAGGCAAAAGTGAAAGAATGTATGTAAAACGTGTAAATATGTCAGAATGTGGTTAATCCCATAAGACAAATATACAGAGTGCTGTGAGGATTCAGAGAAATGACATTGGTTGGGGGGGGGAGTTGGAGGAGAAGTAGGGAGAGAGGATGGACAGGACCAACATCATCACTGGAGGGGGGCCTTGAAGGGTCGGGATTTCAGCAGGCAAAGATGGGAACAAGAAGGGCATCCCGAGCGTCAGGACCATGGGAGCAAAGGGAGAGAGGCAGGAAATTACGGAAAGAGTGTAGGAAACTGCAGCTCAGGGCAGTGTGCCTGCAGAGTGTGTGAGAGTGGTAGGAAATGCAGAAAACAGGCCAGAGCACTGAAGGCTGAAGAGTTTGGACTTTCTTAGTAGGCAAGACGGATTCCTTGACCATCTTTAAAGCAGGAGTAATGTGATTAGAGCTATGCTTTAGGAAGCCAAAGGGACATCTGGTCAAGACCTCAGAGGCTTAGCTTCCCAATCAGATATAGTCGAGGAAACCTGCATCCTCACAAAAAAAGTAGGTGCCACCAGCAGCTCTCCATGTACTGTGGCTGATGGGCTTTGTCTGGGTACTGCAGAAACTGGAGAGAACTGCATTTGACCATGGTCAGGCTTTGAAATCCTGTTTATCATTTTGAGACTCCTGAATATATTTGGTCAATGGGCAAACAGCCCAGGAGTTTTGATGTCAGTTGCCAAAACAAAACACACCTGTTTCAAATTGTGATTTGCCACATTTTAGACATGAAGTGATAGAATTTCTCTTCAAGGGTCCCAGTTTTAGTACAGGGAGCTAGAAAAACTTGCACTGACAGTCTCTGCTTGCCTTTTTAAACTGGTGGAGGAGGGAAACCCTTGTGGATCCATTCATTTGCCTGCTGGTAAAGTGCTTTCAATTCTAAGTACTGTATAAACATGAAATGTCAAGTTTTCTTGGTAAATATTAAATAAAAAAGATGACTCTCCATTATAGAAATTCACTCTTAATAAACCATGTCTTCATATGGATTTTGTGGGATTTTTCTCATTTTGATAAAGATTGAAATCTTCCTTCTGTCTCCTTTCCCCCTTTAATGATGGCTATAATCACGTGCACTTTGGTTTGAATTTTAATCTTCAAATAAATTAATTGTTCCAAACAGTGTGGTCCAGCTCTTAGTTTTGACAAAAGTATGAAAGCTCCTGAACATGCATATTTTATTTGAAAGTCATAAATCATGTAGACAGCTGCTTATATCCTATTACCTGCCAGAGGTCGCCGTTCTCTAGCCGGGTGCTGTGTTTCATTCCAGTTTGCCTTGGAGGAGGCTCTTTAATGGTGGCAGCTGTTTCAGGATGCCAGGTTGCATAAAGGAGACCATAACCCAGCATGCTTAAACTCATTCACAAAAGTGCTGCAAGAAAACTTTTCACTACTTATTCCCTGGTGACTGATTCTACCTTGGGTTAAATTCTTACTGATAAGAATTCTGTTCCCAGATGAGATTGGCTTTATATTGTTCAGATATAGAAAATTATTCCTACGGAGAAGATAGAAATTCCTCATTTTGGGGAGGGAAGAGGTGAAGCAAATGAAATCTAATAACACTGTAAGGAAACTTTCACTTAAAAAAAGAATTTGGCCTTTTCTCCAACTGGTTTGGCTAAACTGTTAGGGATTAATGACTTAAATTTAGGGTTTCTGGTCATGGGTTAAAATGACGACCAGCAGAGTGAGATAACTAAGAGAAATTTGTGATAGGACAGTTTCAAAGTTCCCAAATGAGAAATGACTCCAAAGTCATTTGTGGGCTCATTTCCTCCTAGAAACAAACTTGGAATTTGTTTGAGAGCACCCTAGTGTAGATTTATGGCCCAAGGGCTGCTGCTGAATTTCACATTAACAGAGGAGGGGCTCCCTCATTTTACAGATGCAGAGGGGAGGGCAATTAGTTGCCTGAGGTTACCCTGGTAGTAAAAGGGGCAGAGCTGGGATTTGGACCCAGTTCCCTGACTCCAAATCGAGTCTCTTTTTCAGTACCCCCAGGCTTGGTGTGGGTGGTCTAGTTCCCCCGATACTGGCCCCTCAAGGGTTTTGTAAATCTTCATTCTTGAGAAATTTAGAGCTGAAAAAGACCTTGGAGATCATTATCAGCCCTGAGGACACTGAGGCTGAGGGCAACTGACTTGTCCAAGGCCACACAGGCAGAAAGTAGCAGAGCCAGGATCTAAATGGAGGTTTCCTGACCTGTATCAGTGGGTGTGACTTTCTTCCTTCCATTGTATTTGCAGGTCTGGGGAGTGAAATACAATGCAAATGGCTCCAAAATTGTGTCCGTTGGAGATGACCAAGAAATTCATATCTATGACTGTCCGACTTAATCACACTCCAAACCGGGTAGGCTAATGCTGGGGGGAGGAAGGAACACAGAGAGGGATGCACCACACCATTCCCCACCTTTGTACATGTTAACAGATGGACAGATGGAACGCTGCATTGTGCAGAATCAAGTACAAATTTATATGTAGTTGTCATTTTCATTCTTTTAATAAAGAATGCCATATTCTTTGCACAGGTATTTAGATATAGTATAAAATGTCTTTTAAACTCCCTTATTCCCTTTCCCTTTTCAGATAGATAGCTAGTTTTCTCAAGTGGATGACCCTATTGGGTCTGAACAAATTCACTTGGGAAAAGAGCCATGAGTCACTTTAATTAACGTCTTTTGAAATCAAATGTTACAACTGTCAAGAAGAGACCAGTTTTGCTTCCAAGGAGCTGTCTAGTTATACCTTTTCCCCTTTTATTTCGATGCTTAAAACAAGGCTTACATACCACCTGACTAGAGGTGTTTAATTGTTTCTTTGGTTATCCAACAGACTTACCTACCTGTCATGTATTTTAAGTTACACAGAAGTTATTTTTGTGCACTAAAATTGAAGTTTCTACTTGAAAGTTTCGGTCATTGAAATATTGCTTTGAAAAAAAATGACATTCAATGTAGCTAGAAAAGAAGGAAGAGAAGTTGGACCTACAAGAAAAAAATTATGAAAAAACAAAAAACTCAACTATATTTGACAAAAAGGCAAAAATTTTCCAATTCAGGAATAGCAAATGATGTCTTTTTGGTTCTGGGGAATTGACAACTTTCAGGAAGATATTTCAAAGCTAATAATTGCTCAGTTGTTTAAGCACTGAGCCTCAGTTTCCCTAGGGACATTACTTACCTCCATAGAGTGGTAGTGTGGAAAGCACTACTATAGAAATGGTATGGTACAGTGAAAGTGACTTGAGAATGGAGTAGGGTCCCTTAGGAAGCAGCAGAAAGCTCTACACTTAGGATAAGTAAGAGGAGGTCAGAAAAAGATGATGTCATAGGAAACAGACTGGTACAAGGACGCACACAATTCCTCTTTTTTCAAAGTACGATCTTTAACCTAATTCCTTTCTTAATCCTTGGATGAAGTCATATTTTAATTCCCTTTTCCTCTTCCGTAGTAATTAGAGAATTACTGTTAAGACTAACATAGAATTTGCAAGAACTCAAGTGTTGGTACGATTCTGTCTCACCCCTAGCATGGTCTAGTCAAAGATAGATGGCTTGAGAGTTAGAAAATGTGGATTCAGGTCCAAGCAATGGCACTTGGTAAACGTGGAGCTTCTCTGAGCCTCCATTTTCTTGATAAAACAGGGATAAAAATTATCTAAACTACCTACATTACAAGATGGTTGTATGGAAAGTGGTCTGTAAACAATCAGGTGCCACATGTTAATGTGATCATGTTATCTTTATAAATTGACTTTTTTAAGGGTGCTTAACTTTCCTGTTAACACAAATTTTCTTAGAAGATCAGCTTCTAGGGGCAGCTGGGTGGTGCAGTGGTTAGAGCTCTGGCCTTGGAGGCAGGAGGGCCTGAGTTCAAGTCCAGCCTCAGACACTTGACATTTACTAGCTGTGTGACTCTGGGCAAGTCACATAACCATGACTGCCTCACCAAAAAGCAAAAAAAAAAAGATCAGTTCATTGTTTAAATGTAAGTCATCATGATAATTGCATTACCTGATGCAGTTTTTTTAGCAGTTAATATCTGTATCTTAGAAGCCACAGTCTAATACAGTCATGCCTTTAGTTTGGATGAAATATCTATACTACCTGAAATAATAAGTGTTTTTTCTTCAAATTTGTCAGTTACACAGTTAGGAAAAGTGATACAGCCAAGTCTCGTGTCTCTGACATCTTTTGTAATGATTCCATGGGGTCTGTCTGTTCACTGGGCTGGCAAGCCTCAAGCTTTGAAACTGGCAGTCAATTTCCTGACTTGGAACATCATGCTTTCAAAAGGAATAAAAGTCACTTATCTTTCAAATACCAGTGCAATTTTATTTTCAGAATGACTTGAAAATACAGGTGAAAAAATCATTTAAAGTAATGCCCCTCTGTGGTCCCCATCTAGACAGTCTACTTAATCAACAGAAGAATGTAGAAAAATAAAATTGTGATAGAACTCACATTGCTAAGTACTAATCATTCTTAAGAAAACACAAAGTGGCGAGGGTGGGGGAGCAGGAACCTTGATTCAGTTTAAATGTAAAACTCCATTTGTGCACAGGGAGAAAGAAGTTCACCAAATTGCTCTGGCCTGTGCCACAATGTTATTGGCCAGGCATTGTTTTTTCCCTTAAGTCCCGCATACGCTGTCAGCACTTTTGGTCATTGGGAAAAGGAACCGTTAACATTGTACAAATGAGACTTAGCTCTAGGTCTTAGCCCAGCAACTATTATCTAGTCCCTGGACCTGCCTGCATGTCTACATTGCCTCACAGATAGGTCAGACCTCCACAAATGGCAGTTATCTACTGTAGCTGAGAGCACTGTAGCTCAATCAGGTCTGTTTCAATAGGATTATCTTGGGTTTGGCATTTTTAAATTTACTACAGGTTTGGAAGGGAAACCCATTTCCCGTTTTACTGTCAACAGCCACACCTCAGTTGTCTGTACTTGTCCACTGGAACAAACCTTTTCAGGCTGGCTGGCTGGCTGACTTACCTCACTTATAATGGAATTCAGTGCAATTTGATGGGTAGGTCAAGGTTAGAGAGATGTGTTGGGTTGGTAGTAAAGCTGAGAGACCCGTTAATGGCCAGCTACAATGTTGTCAGAGAACAGAAGCCCTCCGAAGACATGGCGGGACCACCAGCCTGGTATCCACCATCCAGGAACAAAGCAGAACAGAAAGAAATGCCCTCGTGCAAGTATAAAAGCAAACTTCCTCAGTCATCACTCTTTTTTAAAAAGTTCAGTTTTATAGGACAGGTGAGTAAAGAAGTGGCGAACATCAACATATTGAACATAGTACTACTGACAGACAGAATTTACAAATTGTTCCTGAAGCCACTCAGATATGCAAATAGCTCAACTTGCTACTATTTTACTATAGACATCCCAGCATCTGAGGGTCATATTTGTGGCTGGGAATGTAGAGAAGGATTCTCTACAGTGAAGCTCTTTGGCTTGGTCGGTGTTATACAGGGGGCCAACAGGGAAAAAGCAATGTCAGGTAGGCAACAGGCAAGTAAGGGGACTGCGGCCAAACTGTATTTTCAGTATCACCTCCAGACAGGTGGTTTGGTTGGGTTTTTTCTCATACCAACAAATGTTTTGGAAGGGTGAGTAGTAATAGAAGAATCTAATCCAAAACTGCCTGGTAACTCCTCCAGGTGAGGAGAGTGACCTCAGCCCACACCAGAGGGTGGGCCAGGTGCTGCGGGCTGCCCTTCCCATCTCAGTGTGGTGAAGCAGGTGCCTCTTGGGCCTAGGTGCTCTCTTCCTTCCCCAGAAAAAGCAGTGGGGGAGAGCCCAGAGATGACGGCATCACTCACTGCTGTGGGCGCAGGCTGGGGCGCTCGCAGTCACCCACAGCTGCCTGACTGCCCCAGGGCTCCAGTTTTGATACCTGAGAACCACAACTTTCAGTCAGGGGCTTCCCAAAGCTACAACCTGGAAGTGTAAATGAAAAGATTCCATATGCAGACTAGATGTGATTTACACTTAAAAACATTTAAATATAAATTAAGCTGTAACTTAAGATACAACCAACAAAGGGGACACTCAGCAATTCCTTGTGCTGAACTCACACATACATACACATACACACACACATACACACACACACATACACACACACAGGACAGCCCAGACACAAGGCCATTAAAGCGATGCCATTTTCATTGTGCCAACTTTACATTCATCAGTTTGCTAGTCCGCACACACCACGCCACGTCACGCTGTCTGGCACTGCACTCCTGCTTTGGGGCCCTCGTCATCCTCTTCATACGCTTCTGTGCTGTGGCGCCAGTTTTGTTCGTTGGGGTTAAATTCCTCGAGTTCTACCTGATCCATGTCATCTGTGATTCTTGTTTTTTGTCGCGGCGGAAGTAAAGCTTCTAACTGAGGCAATTTATCTTGAGTAAGCCAGTGTTTTTCAGGAAAGATAACCTGTGTTGAGGGGAAAAGCACACATAAAGGGAAGGGGAAAGGTGTCACTGGAAGACATTTTTCACATAGTAAGAGGAAACAAACTTACCAAGAACTGTATGATGAGAGAGCCTTTCTCTAGTGATGATTTGTAGATGGGCATGCCTTCATTACGTACACATTTCAAGTCACCATGCTTTATCACTTCACCTGCCCGTAAGAGAGGTTGGTTTTATTAGGCACTAAGAATGAATAGTCTCTAGTTCTGTGGTGCATCTGAATGCAACCTACATAATAATAAAGTGTCAGTGCGATGTTAAGCTGGGGGGGGAGGTGTCAAAGCCTTGGAAAAGTACTATTGAGTATATATAATATGTAAAGTGGTCCAGTGGGAAATTTAGACACAAGAATTTCTGCTCCCCACACCTCTTTCGCCAGTATTCAAAGACAAAGCTTTATGAACTTGTGGCTAACGCAGGCTATGCTGCCTGTGAGAGGGGCAGTGAGGTCGAGAACAGCGTCTGTCATCCGAAAAGGGCTGGACACAGAGGCAGCTGGGAGAGCAACACGCATATCATACGTACAGTTAATGAACAACCTTAAAAGATGCTCCCAGCAACATCAGAACAGATTTCTAAACCCTTTCCTTACAGCCACACACCTCAAAGACATAGTTTTTGTGAGCATTTTTCCCTTTGCATCCACCTTCCAACATTTAACGGCATATTTCATCACGTACACTGGGGAAGAGGTTGGAGGATACAGTATTACGCCCCTGAATTCAACCCGAGGATAACAGTGGTGGTCACTAACCATTATCACAAGCATATAAGAGGGGAAAAAAACGGGAGGCTACTACCAAAGTAATGAAGGAAGAAAGAGAGAGGATCAGTCTCCTTGTCTGAGAAGCAAAGGTGATTATGCTGTAAATATTACTATCACACACGCCAGCAGTGAGGCCTCATGTGGATGGATAAAAGTCAGTCTAAAAACACTTTGGATACAAAGTCTCATCTCCTAGCAGTCTGATACCATGTCAGAGTTGGAGCCCCTGTTGGGGACTAGGATGTTTTCTACCTCTCATTCAGGGTGGGAGAGTCTTTGACAACATCCCCAGCATCAAGGGGCCACCTGGTGTTTGTCACGAGGGTCTACTAGCTCCTAAGTAGTAGGAAGTTCTTCCTTCTAGGGCTGAAATCTGCCCTGTCTGTAACTATATACTACAACTAGAGGCTTGCCAAGAAGGTCTAGAGCACTCTTAGTTTGAGCGAAATAAGATTTTTTAAAATTATCCACAAGTACAGGACAAGAGAGACCTGACTTGACAGTATTTACGTGGAAGAAAAGCTATAAGTTTTAGCTGATCTCAAGCTTGAGCCGATTCCTGGTTTTTTTGGGGGGGGAAGTGTGGGTGGGTGTGTTAAAGCTAATGTACTTTTTTTTTTTTTTTTTTTTTTTTTTTTTTTGGCGAGGCAATGGGGTTAAGTGACTTGCCCAGGGTCACACAGCTAGTACGTGTTATGTGTCTGAGGCGAAATTTGAACTCAGGTCCTCCTGAATCCAGGGCCGGTGCTCTATCACCTAGTTGCCCCTAATGTACTTTTTAAAAGGCTGTGATAAAGAAGCACAGTAGTCAGGCCACTGGTTCTGCCTTCTAGAGCAGAGGCCAGCTAACTCTGGCCTGACGACCAAATGTTGCCTCTGCCTGTTTCTGTCCAGCAGCCACTGAGCTAAGAAAGTTTTGTTTTGTTGCTTTGTTTTCTTTTAAAGCATTAAGGGCACAGTTGACTCAAGCTTAAAGCCCACTTAAACCTCTAGCTATTTCTTCCACGTAAATAAACATTGTCAAGTCCGTCCGCTGTGGGTGTGGGCTCCCCCACCCAATCATTTCCTTGTGCAAATAATTTTTTAAATCTTTGGAATTTACTTACAAAACTATTTTACATCAAAAATTGTACTTTAAAAAAAACTCCAAGTCCATCAAGAAACTAATGCCCACACAAAATGAGGAATAAAACTAAGAGTTATCACAGAGACAACATGGTTTCCTGTAGAGTACAGCTGTGCATCATAAAGAACAAGGAGGATCACAGAAATACTGCCTGGACTGTTGCTATCAGAATCCCTATGGTATGCTGCCAGGAAGTGATTCCTAACTTAAAGACTTGTGCTGGAATGATGATAAACTATAGAAACCTATTCTAGAAACAGAACCAGGTATTCTTGCTGTTAAGTAAGAATACAAAAACGTAGGAGGATAAGATGAATTTTTGCCCTCGCCCGGTTTTGTTTCCCAACCCTGAAATCCCTCCCAAGTTGTCATTTTTCTGTGACAACCCAGTTGTCACAGAACAACCCAGTTCTGGGTCCTCTTTTAATATAATTTGATGACTTGTGTACATTTGGACCTCTTGATATGTATTGTTTTTTACCATAATAATGAAGAGGAGAACTGAGCATGAGCATAAATGTGGGAGAAAGGAGCAGAGATATATGCTGCCCTCAGGGAACACAAGATTTCCACACAGGTGGATTTTCAAACTGTAACAGCAGCTTATTTCTCCATATATTAAAACCTAATTTTCAACATTTCTGATGGAAATCTTTTAAATGGTCATTTTTCTTCTACTTTAAACTTTTCTACTTTAAGTAACAATAAACAACCCTTTTCTTTATCACTTGAGATCCCACTGAGAAACAAATTGCTTCTATACTATAATACAGTAATACTCTTAGGCTTCATTAAACCATATTCAGCTATGCATAGACCAGGCAGCCCATGAAAAATGTATTTTTCTTGGCCCTATGTTGTGCAGGCCTGTTTTACATCCTCTGCATTTTTCGCAGGCCGCCCAAAATCCTTTGGCGGGCCATATGTTATGCAGGCCTGGTGTAGACTAACACCAGGATTACTGTGGGGTTTGAGTTCTTTTATCTGTTTAGCTTTTCCATCTCTTTTTGGTGGCAGCTGTTAACTTCTTGCTGGTATGGTGATTACTTCTAGCAACTCGCCTCTCTTCCCCCTTTTCTGATTTGCTCTGAACTTAAGAACCAGACAACTGGTCTTGTCAGAAGTATGTCTAAAATAAAGTGAAGCAGATGGAAATGTGGAGACCTGAGGGGTTAGGAACAACATAACAACTGGCTACTGAATTCAGGCTTTTAAAAAGTCTTGGTTCTTTACTGTGTCAGTCTGGGAAGCTGATTTTCTAGATGGGTACATCTCAGCATAAATAAGTATTACTGTAGAAGAAAAGGAGAGAGATGTGAGGGACTGGAGAAATATAATAAAGGGATGGGAGAGGAAAAGGAGGAAGATGAGAGAATTCTACTAAGCAGAGCTTTCTCTGCCTTCACGGGCTTCCTGCGTTTCCATCTCTCTCCCTCCACCCTGATAAGCCAGCAGCAATGGTCTTGCTAAGTTCTCAGCACTGCTGCTGGGCCTGCAAGTGTGTGAGCCTCTTGGATCCATCCTTGGTTCCCTGCCCCCCTCTCTTTCTGAGGTGGCAACTGTGCCCCTGAAACAGGTCCCCATAGTAGCAGGGACCACGTGGCACACGTGCTTCTTTAAGGAGTGGCTCAGACCCTCCCCTACACGTACACTGTACTCCGCCCCACCCCACTTCATGCATGGTTCTCATGTTGTTTTTAAGGGGAGAAAATATTTAGAAATATATATTTCATATGATCATTTCAAGCATGGCTGGTAGAAAGGAAGAAAGAGGTATGGTGGGTGGGGGACACCAGATGAGTAGACACTAAAGAAGAGATGAGAAACAAGATATGGAAGACAGGATCCTTGGACGGGCCAGTCAGTTCTGAAGTGTTTATTCATGACTCCATTCGTCCCTCCATCCCTCTTCACTGTCAGCTCTGGGCCACAGGGCGTCATCATTCAGTCTGGGCTTTGACCAGCCCGTTAGCTATTTCACTCTTATTTCTCCTTAAACCTATGAAGACTGATCTGAGCGGTGTAGACTCATCATCTAACTGAGGGAGAAGTCATCGTGACCAGGGCAATAACATGGAGAAAACCTGTTAAAAAACGGTTCTCGTGAACCTTTTGTTCGAACCCTTCCCAGACTTCCCATCTGGATATTCTCTCTGATTCTAAGCACTGTAACCCATTTACATCTGAGGAGTCGACTTCATCAGGGTCCTCCACAGTGTTTGGGAAAAACTGCAACAAGCTAGTGAGTAATTGTCAGCGGGGGTTGGACTCAGTTCTCTCTGACTACAAATTCAGCACTATCTGCTCTTCTGATGTGATGAAAGCTCACATTTTCATCTCAGGTTTTATGTATTTCGGTAGATTTGTGGCCTGATTCATGTGGCTACTCTCTCCAACAGTGCAGAGTAGACCCCATTCATGTCTTCTTCTCACACCCCCCCCCCCCACCATGTGATTCTTGTCCATGTGCTTCCACAAACACTTCATAGACAAACCTAACACATTGGAGACCTCTGAATGTTCTGTGGGTCCCAGGACAACCCTCCCTCTGTTCTCCCTTAGTCTCTCTGCTTGGCTACACTACAATTGCCACTGTTCTTTCAGAAGCCACTTCAGGATAAACTAAAAATGTGCAATCATCAGCCAAATATCTCGTTAGAAAAAGTGTGTGTGTGTGTGTGTGAGTGAGAGAGAGACTGAGATGTCTGTTTTTGCTTTACCACCCAGGGCCCAGAGGAGAGCGTGTGGATACATTAATCTTTTTGTTTTTCTCCTTAATAGTATTTTTTTCTGTAGTTACATGTAAAGATAGTTTTCAACATTCTTTTTTGTAAAATTTAGAGTTTGGCTGGAGTAGTCTACACCATTGCTATTGGAAAAAATAAAAGCATGGCCTAATGTCAATAGTGTTATCTTCCTATAACAAAGGACAGAAGAGGGGGCGTGGGGAGGCAATATGAGAATTAGAGGCAAAGTGAATTCACCGAGCGTGACTGAAGGTGACTCTCGGTGAGTGACAGGAGCAAAGAAATCCCACAGAACTTTTACAGGCAAACATACAGAATGATATGTAACAGACCTACCCCAAAGCTCACCTGCCTTAGAAGTTATAACAAGAGTTCGATTATCCAGTGTCTTTATCGTCTTTTTGAAGCCACACAAAGCTTCAGTGAGTTGAATCTTCATTTTCATGATCAAATCATGGCCTCTTCTCTGAAAGACACCATGATCCTTCTGATCGAGCACAATGATGACATCACCAGGCTCCAGCTCAGGCTCCTGATCTCCTTCTCCATGAAACATGATCTTCTGTCCATCTTTCATACCTAGGAAACATCATCCCTTATTGATTGACCGTTTTCTTAAATACAGCCCTTATTTGTAAGCCTTTTTTTCAAGGGGGGGGGGGGGGGGATAAGCATTTGTATAGCACCTACTGTTATGTGCTGGGCACTGTGCTGAGCCCTTTACAGATATCTCATTTCATCTTCACAACAACCCTTGAGAGAGGTAGGTGATATTATTATTATCCCCATTTTACAGTTGAGGAAGCTGAGGCAGACACAAGTTAAGTGACTTGCTCAGGGTCACACAGCTACTGCGTGTCTGAGGCTAGATTTGAACTCGGGTCTTGCTGATTCCAGGCTCCAAGCTCTATCCACTGAGCCACCACCTGCCTCCAAGGCCTTTACAGGCATCTCTTTAACATGACCTCTGTAGGAGGGGGCTGGGATTATCACCACCTTTTTACAGATGGGAAGATAGGAAAGGAGAGGTCAAATGTTATATCATAAGTCATGGTCATGCCACCATGTCAGTAGCAGTCTGGAATGGGACTAATGTTTCTATATGCCATTTGGATTTGTTTGTAGAGTTCACTCCTAATTCTTATTTTGTGATATATGTAGGTGTAGCTGACACTGTTAAACCCTAGCAAAGTAATACTGATATGCAGACACAGAAATAATGTAACTTGAAATTTAAAAGAATTAAGAATAGCACTGTACTTTTTGATATTGTTTGTTGTTATTGTTTTTGCAAGGCAATTGGGGTTGAGTGACTTGCCCAGGGTCACACAGCTAGTGTTTATCATGTGTCTGAGTCCAGATTTGAACTCAGGTCCTCCTGACTCCAAGGCCAGTGCTCTATCCATTGTGCCATCTAGCTACCCTGATACTGGGTTTTATACTTTCTTCGGTAGTTAGATGGGGGATTGTTTGCTGTTTATAGAAGGTATCCTTATATTGATTGGGCAATTTTTTTTTTAAAGGAGTTAAATTTGAAAGAGGGCTGTGATGTTGTCTGGTAGGCATCAAGAACAGCATTGAGCCTGATTCCTATGCTGGGACAACTGGATGGAGCAGAAAGGGAATATTATGATAAAATTTGATTTCAGTCAAAAGGCCACACTTAAGGATCTAGAAGGCCACATGTGGCCTCAGAGCCACAGGTTCCCTACCCCTGGGCTAAGCTTTTGAAAGATGGCGGGTCATAGTATCAAAAAAGGGGAGAAGAGAAAAATCCCAGAAAAGAAAGACTGCAGTTATCCACAAAGAAATCCTTGTGTTCGTAAGAGTTAGAGGCAAGAAGCATTAAGGAAAACATGACAAAATCGATGGCAGATTTTATTTCTCCATCTATTATGCTTAACTGAATTAGGACAGAACCTTGTACAAGGACAAGTGTTTGAGTCCTCAGAGCTCTCTTGGATGACTGGATGTTCATTGGGAAAAGCAGGTCGGGGGTGGGGGTGGGAGGCTGACGTTAGCCCTGGGGCCTCACCTTTTTCTATGTGAACTTCTATAATTTTTTTCTCTCTTACAACTTTACAGCCATTACAGTTCTCACACCGGTCCTTGGGGTTAATTCGTTCACCTTGGCCTTTACATTCAAGACATACTGTTTGAATCTGCTGGACCATTCCTGGCCCAATCTGCTGGATATGAATTTGCATTCCTCTCCCTTTGCAGATGGGGCATTTTTCAACGGATCCCTTTTTCCCACCAATTCCTAGGGAAGCAAAACAAAAATGATATCTATGATCTCCTCAGAGTTAATCAGAGCAAAAAAATCTAAAAGCTATGATAGTGGCCACATGTTTATATTTTGATTGTTCCTTTGAAAATGTTATGTACAGAGTGAAAACCTTGAATGAAATATTTTCTGAAGTATACTAAAGACCACCTTAAAATTAGTAGTTTTTCGTTGTTCAGTCATGTCCATCTCTTCGTGACTCTTTTCTGGGGGGTTTTCTTGGCAGAAGCAGTGAAGTGGTTTGCCATTTCCTTCTCCAGCTCATTTTACAGATGAGGAAACTGAGGCCAACAGGGTTAAATGATTTGCCCAGGGTCACACAGCTAGCAAGTCTGCGACCAGATTTGAACTCTGGAAGATGAGTTTTCCTGACTCCAGGCCCAGCACTCAATCCACCAGTTACAAAAGGGTTTTGTTGCCCTTTTTTTTTTTAAACACTGAGAGAAATTTTTAAAAATGTGTATTAATAAATTCATAGACTTTGAATGGCATAAAATTTCAGTTTTCTCTGGCAGGTAGTAAATTTATACTTTGTAAGAAAGCAAACTATGTGTATGTAATAATGAAGAATTGGGGGGGCAGTGAGAGTGTGTGTTATATTTCACTTTATTAGTTTAAAAGATATGTACATTTCACTCTAAAGTCTGGGAAGTATTCCTCCTGCCCCCCCCCCCCCCAATTCATTACCTTCACATTTTTCGCAAATTACATTTTTCTGGAGTGCCAGTTTCCTTGTTACTCCATTATATATGTCTTCAAGCGATACAGACAACTGATGCACGACATTCTTGCCTTCCGAGAAAAAGTACACCAACGTAAGGACAAATGCATTAGGAAACCTCATCAGTTCAGGCTTAATACGAGTCACCCTAAAACAGGACAGCGTTTCTGTCTTATCTAGTGTTTCTCTCTGGTCAGCAGGGGAATAAGCTCAGAGAGTTTTTCCGCCTCTATATTTCTGTGAATTAGGCTCTTCTTGTCACTTACAAGTCACCTCTTTAATCTGAGAGTTCTGCATCTTAGTTTTAGCTAAAAATTAAACTACTTCCCAAGCTAATTTTCTTAGAGCAAATCTGAGTGAGGCAGAAAGGTCATCCTGTACTCAATATAAAGTAAAACAACATAAGCAAAAAGATTGTTTAAATAATAAGCCCACTAATTCCTGATAAACACTTAGTTGAAGCTTATTTCAGGAAGGTAAAAACCAGACTTCCAACCAAAAAAAAACAAAACACCAAAACAAACACCAGACTTCCTAAATCACTAAAAAAGATTTTTTTAAAGCAGTGAAATAAATATATAAGCTAAGTCTTAATGGATCTATCTTCTATCCTTGAGTCCTCAATCACATTATTATAAATTTTTAAAAACTTGATAGTTTTGTAGGAAGCAAAGAAATATAATAGGTTAGAGGAAGTGTATGTAACCCTAACCATTGTTTGGGATGGAATGCATTAAGATAATTCTCATTAAAATGGTACATTTTAAGTTTTAGTATTCTTTGTCTTTTGGGATCTGATAATCTAGGTCCTTCTAATTTGGGTTAGTAAATCAGTGAAAATAAGTACATTTATAAATGCCTAACTTACTGAAGATTGGATATTTAGGCTACATTGAGAAAAAGTAAGTTAAAAGGGTTTCTAAGCAGTTAAAAAAATTAAGCCTCCCCCCTTTTCAAAGGGCCCCATTTATTTTTAATTTACAAACAATTCTAATAAGTTGGTAATTTGTTTTTCCTAGCTGTATATCAGATTATAAGCAGATTAATTGAAGGGTAGAAGAGAGATAAAGGGGAGTGGGGTAAAGGTGGGGGAGGGTAAGGTAACTGAGAAATTCCAGAGAGAACATTCAGAAACAAATTACTCTGAAAAGCATTAAATCTGGGGCCATTCATACCCCTAACATCATACCTCCATGGCTGCTGAAGGCACATTGCTGAGTTACCCCACCATATAATAATCCAAGTTCACAAAATGCCTCACCTCCGAGGGAGAAGCTTCAGAATATTCACCTTGTGGAACACCTCATTCCCCAATAAAGTATCAATGAAGCTTTATTTTCTACTTTGAACACAAAGCTGGCAGATCTCAGCAACCAGGAAAGTTGACTCAATCAAGGAGCATTTATTTAAACAACAGTTAGGTGCCAGGTACTGTGCTAAACAACTGATTTTGTTGGTATATGGGCATGGCCTTTAAAAAAACCCAAAAAACCCAAACTTGTCTTGTGGAGGGGGAGGGGAAAAGGACTATTTGGTTTCTAAGCAATTCTTTGTAACAGAGGTTTGTAACCGTTTTGGGGGAATGTCATGGGCACTCTGACACTTTGGCAGGCTGGTGAAAACCTACGGACTTCTTTTCTCAGAATAATGTTTATTGCCTACATTCAGAACTGAAGGAAATGTTAAATCTCACTTATTAGTGAAAATAAAATTATATTTTTTTCCTATCCAAATTCACCACCCCCCAATCTATTCCTGTACTCCCAGAACCCCTGTTCTATAAGGAATATTTTACCTTTAAATTAGTAAACTGAAGAATACCTAGTAACCATGAACTTACAAAAGCTCAGTATTACCTATATTCATATAATTCAGAAGATAGTAGGGTTAGACTATATATATATCTATATAGTAGAAGTATATAAAAGTTCAGTCGTTTTAATCTTCTAGTTTATTGTGAACTTAAAGAGTGGCATAGGAGAGGGCCCTTGTGTGTAAGATTCTGGCACATTTAAGACTTTAACCTTTAAACCCCTCACCCCACCCCCACCCCCAACCATTTACCTCTTCTCTCTCTAGTCATCCGGCCTCCACCGCCAAAGAACATGTCAAAAATGTCCATGGGTGAGGAGAAGTTGCCGCTCGTTGTGCCTCCTTCTTTAATAGCCTGCTCCCCGCCCTGGTCATAAATTTCCCTTTTCTTTACATCTGAAAGTACTTCATAAGCCTGGGAGATGAGTTTAAACTTGAAAACAAAAACAATAACAAAACCAGAGACTTGAGTAGAACAGCTTTAATAAGCAGAGCTATCATCTGAGTAAGAGCAATTTCTCTGCTGGGTGCTGTTCCAATAACGGTAGCTTGTTGATGACTGGAAAGGTTACAACAAAGGGCTTCTCTTGGTAATTGATAGCTAAGGCTGTCCAGGAGGACTACTTTTTACCAACTTTTACAGATGAGGAGAAAAGTAGGCTTCCTTGGAGGGGCCCAATCGGTGACTGTGCATGGCTGTGCTGCCAGCCAATGTCAGAATCAGGATTTGATTCTTGGGGCTCATGTTCCAGGTACCATGTGGGGGCACCCTGTTTGCCTTTTCCTCCTCACTCTCTGGTGGCTCATATGGCCAAGACAGTTCACCTCCATGACTGTCCTGTTCTTCCTACGTACATAACGTGCAGGTTACTTGAATTATGACTTCACATGCTTTCTTTGAGGCTCAAGGAACCCTTGTTAAATCTTAAAGCCTACATTTATAGTGCATATTGTGATCAGAGCTGAAATGTTTTTGTGCATTTATTTGTATGTTATTTCTTTGAGGAAGTAGTTATTATCAGCCTCCTTTTGCAGACAGGGAAACACACAGCACCTTAAGTAACACAAAGGGAATTAGGACTTTGGAACTGAAACCCAGGTCAAGCTGCCCTCAGAAACGGGCCAGTCTCAAACTCACAATGGCCAAGTCCATCGTAAAAATCACAATGAGAAACATTAACTGACCACCGATGAGGATGAGGCTGATGGCTCAGAGAGTTTTAGTAGCTTAACTAGCCCTTTTTTCACTGTAGTAAGTCAAGTTAAGTGCTTTGATAAGTTTGCTCTTCAAACCACTGGTAATTTGTCATTTAAAGACAACAGTATAGAGAAGTTCAAACTTTTACATTTTTGTGTTTATTATGAACTTTAAAAACAAGCGCGAACACATTAAATATACAAGCAGATTTGTACATGAAACTAAACTTTTTACACATATTTTTAAAGTATCTTAAATTGAACACTAATAGCTTGTCTATAGCTGCTTCTAGCACTAGACAATCAGTTTGAATACTATGGCCAAAGAGACGAAGACAATGAAACTGGCCCCAGCGTCATCAGTACCTCCAAAGTTTGGTCCGTACTTCCATCTACAAATAACTTTAAGCCCCACCTAGTAACGGGTCTTTTTAGCTTATAAAAGTTAAACGTGACCCAAGCTGACTAGCTGCCTCACTGATACATGTTCTGATCCCCCCCAATTATGCTGCTGGCCCTAAGCTGGTGGAGTCTGTGTACAAAGAGCTTGACCACAAAGCCCAGCTTCCTAGTAATGCTGATGCTTAGCAACAACCCACAACAAGCCAGAATGAGAAGCCCCAAGCCTTCCTTGCACTTGGGGAGGGAGGGAAAGAGGTCTTACTGTCTTCATTGTACAGTCATCAATAAGAACAAAAAACCAAATTAGTAGTCCTGACAGAAGAAACCAAATTTGGTAGCCACATCAGGACTTTAAAGTTACACCTCACCATTTCCTCCCACAAGAACTCTGGGATTGAGTTTCTTAGAGAAACTATCCTCTCTCTGCACATGCCATCCAAGTTATGGGGCCTTGCTATTTTCCCTTGTGAAAACCCCCATCTCCTTTTTTTGCCTCATACTCATTAAACGTGCCAGTCCACTACTCACTTTTCCCTCCTTTTCTGACATGTGGGGTCTGGACTAGGATTTCTTCTGTAACATGGTGTAATGTTCTTGCCTGTTTCCTCCACTAAGATACAGCAGTGGGCGCCATTTGGTGCTTTCCACTTGAGAGTTTTTCCCATAGACTTAGAAAAGGGACATTGGATTTGGAGTCTGAGGACTTGAGTTCCAATTCCAGCTCTTACTTTATTTACTAACTGTGTCATGATCTTAGTTTAGGCAAGTTCACTTCATCATCTGTAAAAAATAAGGTTTGGCTGGCAAATCCCTTCCAACTCCAGCTGTGATTCTCTTCCCTAATCTTAGATAAGGACAAGCTGGAAAGGACAAGCTAGTCCCCTAACTCACTCCCCCCCCCAAATCAGAACCATATTTAAAACCAACTCAAGAAGACAACCTTGGGTAAATCAGGCCATGGGTAGGTTTGGGGTGGGGTGGGGTGTGTACAATATCTTATAGCTAGTTAAAATGGATCTCTAAACCTCTAGCCTACTGGCACACTTATTTCAACATTCAATTATGAAAATATTCTAGTACAGCCAAAGAATTATATATAAACATTGAAAATGTTAACATAAAATAACCTGCACAAATATTTCCTTAGCCAGCCGTACCCAGAATCCCATAAAGCAATGGTTGGCACTGCCCTCAAGAAGGAACTTGCTTTCCACCAGCAGGGATAAGTATGATTTAAAAGAGGTGGACCTCAATGACATCCTTCACAGTAAAGAGAATTAACTTAGTGAATGCATAAGGTTAAAGGGAAGGAACACATTCTCTTGGGGGGGGAGGAAGGGGTGCATGGCAGAGCTAAATGATAAAGATTTCTTCAAGAAAGAGGGGCTTATGACTGAAGATGAATTTATAGAGTATGAGGGGACTGGAGGGAGCAAATGGGTACAGGGAATGGCAGAAGTGAGACCACCTAGAATTCTATCCAAAACTTTGCCAAGCTAGAATAGACCAGCTGAATATTTGAAGAGGAATAATGGGAAAGGAGGTTGGAGCCAGCTTGCACAGATGATTTAAATGCTGGACAGGTTAAGGATTCTATATTTAATCTTGTTTGGCTGTGAGGTTTTTGATCTAGAGATTGATAAGGACTAAATTATGTGTTTCAAAAAAAGCAATCTAAGATGACCATTTTGGAAAATTACAACTCGGTTTGTTTATAAAGACTTTAAGAATCTTGAATCACATTTTCCAAGAACAAGAAATAAGATCATCCATGATGCCGACTGCATCTTTAGAGCTGACTAGCAAGCAGCACACGAGACCTTAAAATGACCTACGTAAGACAAGAGAAAATTAGTTGTCCCCTAAATATAGATGAGAACGAACATAAGTGGGCAAGAGACAAATGGCCTAACAGCAAGTATTTTAAACTTGTGACGATGGCCACCGTTCACATAAAGTACATGTAGCTAAATATAAATATTCGATCAGTGCCCAGGCAAATGCTCTGAAGCAGCTCCCACTCTGAAATGAATAAGGCAGACAGGTATTTTGATCCCACGTTTGTTTCCATAGGTACTAAACAGAAGCCCATGGTTAACTGTGGCTAGCTAGCCTGCTTCACAGTGTCCCCCTGGAGCCAGCTTCAGACCAAAGGAGAAGGAAGCCCACAGAGCTTACATGAAAATGACAAAGCATAAAGGACACACTTTATCTGATGCAGGGAGGGAGAATGACCATGGTGCCTTTCTCCAGAATTCAGTGTGTGATAGTCATCTTTTTGTTTTTGGTCAAGGGACAGTAACCATCAAAAGTATGAAATCTGGCACTTCCACAAAAAGTGTTCCTCTTGCTTGTTTGAGACTGGGTCTCTGGATCACCCAGGTTGGAAATGAAGGGGGCTCCTTCTCAGCCCGATCTAGAGACTGGCAGGAAACTTTTAACCCCGGCCAAGTGGCTCCCCTTCCCACCTCAAGCTCACCACGTTGGTGCTTGGTGAGAACACTCAGTTCTGGCTTTAGCCCTACTATATACATGTCACTGAGTCATTGAGTCCTGCAGATTCACTAGTCCCAGCATCCCCCTTGATTATTACAGGCTAACATCTGGCTCTATGGTTTCTAGTTCTCATTTTTACACCTGGCAAAATTTTCTCAGCTTAATTAACGGGGGAGAGTTGGATACTGACACGTACTTCATCTGTGACCATAGAGAAACTAAGTGAATTTGTCCTTTGTAAACATTACAGTATTGCATAAATGAGGTTATTGTTATACCTATCCATGTTCACTTTTGAGCTTTTCTTGACTACTCTATCCGTTTAAAGCTCTGTATATAAACATTTATAAAAAGTTGCACGGCTGCTTTTTTGATGACCATTCGGGCCGGTCCTCCTCCACTCATCCCCCTGACTTTGCCAAGGTGACAGCTTTGACCCCGACAGAGCCACCGCGGCTACTGTTCTCTCATGGAGGAAAAAAAAAAAAAAGATCGTTGGTCCGCCTGGTAATTCTGCACCCTGAGAAATGCTTGCTAGGGCTGACAGTTACCGGCTGTCCCGGGCCGGCCACGCTGAAGGTGCCCACAGACCACGATTAAACGCTGCCTGCTTTTGATAAAGTTCCTTCCCCCTTCTTCCTCTCGGCCCTCTGCGGCCGCCTGCGCCCTGTGCCCACAGCTCCAGCGGGGCTCCCGTTTCCTGGGGTCTCAATGATTAAAGATTCTTCCCCAGTCAACTTTCAACGCCCAGGGCCGGGGGGCGCGGGACGCCAGCGGCCGGCCGCATCCTCTCCATCCCTCTCCCTCATCCTCCTCCGCCCGGCCTGCGGCAGGACCCCGTGGGGGGGCGGACCGCACCCCCCCCCCCCCCGCCTCACCTTCTCGCCTTCGTCCGGGTTCTTGTCCGGGTGGTACTTGAGGGCCAGCTTCCGATAAGCCTTCTTGATCTCCTCGTGGGCGGCGCTGGGCTTCACCCCCAGGATATCATAATACTCGGTCTCCTTGACCATCTTCGCTCTGCGGGAGGGGGCGGTGGGTCAGGTGGGCGAAGGAGCCCCGAGGGGCCGGACGACCGAACGGACCGGCTGAGGAGGCGGCGGCTGCCCTCGGACCCCAAGTCGGTCCGGCCGCCCGGTCGCAGCCCCGGCTACCCGACTAGCTCCGGCGCCGGCCCGCAGCCGCAGGTCCCCGAGCTCCTGCCAGCGGCCGCGGCTCCCTGCCCGAGGACGCCCCCAGCTGTCGCGGTCGCCTCCCACCCGCCCCTGTCCCGTGCCAGTTGCACACACAACCCCGGGGCTCCTCCGCGGCCGCTTTTATGGTTGCCGGCGGAAGGTTCCTCGGCGCACCGGTGACGCCACAGTGGCCCTAGAACGTTCGCGGAGGTTCCCGCGGGCTGCGCTGGCGGAGGAGCTTCGGCAGAGATTGGGGGAGGGGGATTCCCCTCGGGGGGGGTGTCTCTTCCCCGCGGGCTACTCCTCCCGCTGAGGGCTTTCCCTTCCCCGGTGACCTCCCTGCCCTGGGCATTCCTTCCCCTTAGGGACCTGTTCCCCCTGAAGATCCCCTTCCCCCTTGGGGCTCCCGTTCCCCCGATGGGACCTTCGTTCCTCCTGGACACCCCCTCCCCACTTGGGGCTTCTTCCCCGGGGGATCCCTCCCCTGGGCACCGCTTCCCGCGGCACGGCGCACCACTCACTCGGGCTCGGGGGTTTCGGTCTGTTCCTCCGCCTCCCCCGAGGTCCAGTTCTGGCCGCCACCCCGGGCCATGTCGGAGGCCTCGGGCGGCTCGGCTGCGGTGTCGGCGATAGCGGTGAGCGGGCAGGGGCCCGGGGCCTCAGAGCGGCGGGGCTGGGGGCCACGGGGCGGCGGCGGGGCGGGAGGCGGTGGCTGCT